GTGAGAACCCGGGGTGTTCAGTCCCGGCTTTGTAGGGATGCGAGGTCAATGGTCTAACCACTACGGCATGCACGACTAGGAGAACAACCTCCCCCCCCCCAGTAGCTATACCGGGGCATACAAATTGGACTGAAAAGGAGCCACCTTTGGCGAAGTAGGAACGATTGGCCATCGGTGATCGGTCCTGTGAGAACACTGGTCGGTCCTCTCGGGGACGCGTGGTCATACGGTCTAACAGCTAAGGCATGCCCTCGCCCTACTCTCATGTCCCGTTCATCCGCTCTTGGCTGGCAACGCTGTCCCAGCCCCTGTTGTAACCCCCACTTCTTTCCCTGACCTCGTTTCGCCTGGGTGCGGTGGTTCTGTGCGGCGGAACCCATGCCCCCGTTTGCTCACCGATTGTGCGCAGGCTGTGTCGACGAGGGGAGTGGCGAAGCACGTCCAGACCGTCCACGAGGCGGCAGCGGCGTAAAGCCCGTCGTGGGTGGAGACCCCCCACCCACCCCACTCCCCCCTCCCGTCATTTTTCGGGATGGCATTTTGGCCGAGGCTACCCCATGACGTGTACCATCATAGGAGGTCGTGTTTTGTCGAGAATTCGGGAGTCATAACAGTAGCGGTGTGTTCTTGCCGGAGGTTTTTTGAAACGCTCTTTGATAATGTGCCCGATTGCCCCTCGTCCTACATGTCCCATGCCAGTATGCCTTTGCCTGTGCCCTCTCTCTCTCTTCCAGCATCTTGTGTTGACGATGTAGGCTTGTAGACTTGGTGTTGCTCTGGGGAGAGGGGCGTATGCGGTGATGACCCCGAAACATATCGGTGGGTGGCAGGCGTTTTTTTTTTTGTCCCAAGGGGTATGTTACGTTTGGCCCGAGGCCATGCGGTACCGAAACGGCACGTGAGGCGGAGAGAGAAACCCACGGCGTGCCATTTCGTGATCCCCAAGATTTCGGGAGAGGATAGTTTACGAAAAGTATCTTTGGATTGTCACGTGAATGAGCTTGGGTAACTTAGTTGCTGTCGGCTACGCATCCCCGGGTAGGCGGCGCGAGCTTTAGAGTTGAACTGGAAGGAAACGTTTCACGAGGGGCTTTGGCTTGTTGCGTGGGTCCTTCGTGTTGTGTATAGTTGAACTGGAGGGAAGCGTTGTTGAAAGGGTTCTGGTTGCTGTGTGGATGCTTCGTGCTGTGTAGACGGGCCCGCGCGACGTAACCGTTCTCCCTCCCGCACCCGAGGTGGGTATTGCCTTGCAACGCGGAAGTCACATTCCATGGTGCATGTCGTTGCGACCGGCAGATTTCGTTTTTTTTTCTCTTTTTGATCTGGTCTTCGGGTCTAAAGTTTAGGCCTTTGACGTCGATTATTGGAGGCGAATACTACCTCCCGCGCTACTACGCTAGCGCCTGCCGCCTGCTTAGTTTTGCCCGTCGTATCTTATCTACCGGCATGCGGTCTGTACAGCATAATTTTTGTTAATGTCCCTGGAATTTTGAGTTTCCTATTTTGGCTGCGTTCTGCTGGGGAATCCCACCCCCCAATTAAACCGGCCAGAAATATATCCGCTTGGTAGCAGTGTTGTCGGTTGGCAGTCTATGTTATCCGTCTTTCTGAGAGGTGTACCATGTATGTTTTTTCCGTTCCACTGCTAATACTACATGTGTGTTCGTTGTTATTTTTCGTGCGGAGCGGGCTCGCGAATGATGTCTGCAGGGTAAATTTCTATCGGACCTCGGGGGCGAAAACCAGCACATCCGCCACCGCAATACATCTAGGGGATAATACCTCACCTATCGCATCACAAATGAACGAATCTTCCACTCTCTTAACAAGGCAAGTCGGATAAGCCTCTAGGGCCTTGTCGCAGGAGAACCCCCTCGCGGCCACAGCGTGCCATCAACGAGCACAGATGGACATTATTAAAAATATCCCTAGGCGGTCGGGTCGACGGTCTTCCTTGTACCCACAAACAAGTAGGCTACAAGTCATCCAGCCGACGCGCTAGGACGAAGTCGAGCACTCTCGGCATCGCTTCCTGCAGCGAGTCTGACGCGGCCTTCAGGTTCTGCAAGAACTCCTCCTGAAGGCCAGAGAGGAAGAGAATGCCAGAGAGATAAAAGGGAGAGGGAGAGAGAGAGAACGGGAAAGGGAACGAGAGAGAGAGAGCGGGGGGGGGGGGGGGGGCGTAAAAAAAAAGCGGGGCCCCCGGGGAAAAAAGGGACCGAAGGGTTTCCCCTCCCCGAAAAAGGGATTCCCGGGGGCCTCCCCATGGATTTCCATTTCCCGGCCCCCATGGTTTTTTCCCCCCGGGGGAATCTGGGTTTCCCTACCCCCCCGGAAAGGTCTCCATGGGGGGGGGAACCCGGGAAAGCCCATTTTTTTTAAAAAAAAACGGAAAAAAACGGGGTGGACTTGGGGAGCTTGGGGTCCCTTTTTTCCCCCGGGCCCCTATCACGAAAACTGGGGGGGGGATTCCCCGGGGGGTTTTG